TTACAGAACTAAAATATGTTGTAAGAACTATATTAAAACTGCAGATTACTACAAAACAGGGGTCTTTTGAGTATCTACATTTACATGAACAAATTATTACCATCAAGAAAAAACTTGAATTAAAAAAAAATACTAATTTAAACATTTAAAACCATATCTCACTTAAAAGGGTTTAGTGTAGCATTAGAGAAACCAATTTAATAATTAATCATATTTTCTTTAGAGTAACATTACTTGAAGTAATGTTTTTCCTTAATGGCTTTAAATTACTTAGCACATGGAAGAAAAAATTTTAAACTGTCAACATTTCTTAAAACTCTGTCTCTGACTTCCTTATCCCCCCACACACAAATTAACGTGGGGTTATAGACACCATGCTCAACTTCCCAGTCCCACCTTTGTAAAAAAATTCCAAAGGCCTGACCCAAGCCCGTGGAGTCAATGGAGCAATTCYTACTGATGTCAACGGAAAGATTCCCACTCTCCAGAGTTAGTTTGGATAGTGGTTTTAATGCACAGAAAAGAACAGGGAAAATCCTCTTTGGAAGGGGAACTTATGCATTTCTCTCGGTAAGTACGTTTACAAACAAGACTTCCTAAAAGCAGAAGCAATTCCCCGGTAAAGGGGATTTACTGCCCGTTCCTCCATCTACAGCTCTGCACTCTTAACAGAGGGTAACACCGTAAATTCACGATGRCGACTTCTGAGATTATTTTTCCCTGGAGAATACACCAGCAGTCCACTTTCTGCCTGGACTCGCAATTCTCGCAAATTTCAGACGAACGTTTTCCTCGGGCGTTTTCTTGCCTGCCCACAGTCWAAGCTTTGCCCCTCTTCAGTTGCTCCATCTCGGGACCTTACCAGAGCTCGCCAATGTTCTCAGCCAGGGGCCGCGCTGGGACGTGGGCCCGCTGCCTGCCGAACCTGACACGAGCCGAACAACGGGAAAAGAGCAAAACCGCCTGACGGACTGCCTTTACCTTGGCCGTGCAGGCTCCGCCGGGCGGCTCACGGCTTCCCGGCAGGTTACGGGAGGCCAAGAGCGCTGCCGCCTGCGCACCCCGCGCTCGGCGCGGCAGAACGCGGAGCGGAGCGCCGGCGCTCGCCCTCCCTCCTACGGCTGCCCTGGCACTCCCGCTGGCACGGCAGAGTTGAGACCGCTACACAGCGGAGGCCGCCGCGGCCGCTCCCTTCTCTTCAAAATCTATCACACTTCCCAAACTTTCCAAGTCCTGCAGCCCTCCTCAACTTCAAAGCCAATTTTARTTGAAGGCCCCCACGTACCAGGCACGGAGGCCTCCTCCGGAACCCCGCAGCTCCAGCACCATTATTTATTAATTCTTGGGTTCAGGCATTTTTGTCTTGGGCGAAGGGATGTCACTGTTCCCTGCGCAGCCCAAAGAGCGCCCGAGAGCTCCGCTACCCCACGGACACCTCGGCGCCCCTGCGCTTCCCCTCCCACGCCAGCGGGGGCGCCCCGGGGCAGCGCGGCGCGGGGCGCCCCGAGGGGGCGGCCGGCAGCGGCCCCTCCGCGCGGGCGGGCAGCGGAGAGGCGGGGGCTGGGGTGCGCCTCTCCCTCCGGCGGGCAGGCAGCACACAAAGGAGAAACGTGACACGTTTCTTCACCCGGGCTGTCTGCTGGGGAGGTCTCGGGGAAAAAGAAGAAGAAGAAAAAAAAAATAAATAAATAAAAAGAGGGCAAAGAAAAAAAAAAAAAAACCACACTACCACACAAACGGGGAGGCAAGCGGCGGCCAGCCGAGCCGCCCGCACAGGCTCCCTCGGCAGCCTGACCCCAAGTCCTCTCCGCCTGGCACTTTTCTACCCGTGCGGGGAGGCTACAGGTTGTTTTTAATTACGCGAGGGGTGGGGGGTCCGCCGCGCTGTGCGGCGGGACGGAGGGCCCGCCGATCCGCAGCCGCCCCGAGTGGTTTGGAGGGAGCTTACGCCCGCTCCCGCGGCCGGCCCGGCCCGCAGGGCACGGCTCCAACTCCGGCCGGGGCACCGCAGCCTCCCACGGCCGAGCGCGCCCCCGCCCCCCGCTGGCGGTGCATGTTTGGGAGCGGTGCCACCGGGTGCTGGGAGACCTGACACATGTCACTGCTGCGGCCGCGTCGGCCGCGGCCAAACTTTCGCGCGGCGGCGGCAAGTCAGTGAGCGGCGGCGGAGGGGGGTGGAAGCGGGTGGAAGTAGCAAGTCACACCGGGGAGCGGAGGGAGGAGGGGACGGGTGTGCGGGGCGGGGTGGGGGGGGTAGCACTTACCGGGAGGAGACACCGTGCAGGGCGTCCCGGAGAGCTGACACCGAGAGAAAGGGCGAGCGGAGCCGCGCGCAGCCGCGCGCACATGCAGAGTCCCTGCGGGCGGAGCCGCCGCGCGGGCCGGGGGAGCGGGGGCGGGCGGGTGGCGCGGGGCCCTCCGCGGGCGCGGAGTGGCGGTGGAGCCTCGCGCCCTCCCGCCGGCTGGTGCTGCTTGGCGCTGGCGGTGCCGCTTTCCCTCCCCCGGCGTGCGGGTCCGCCCGTGTGCGGAGTGTGC